AATTCAATTAATTAAAATAATATAAAAAGAATTTTTGTTGTTATAGTTCACAACTGTTCGAAAAAACCTCTTTATAATAATTTTTGTAAGATATTTCTGTTTAATAATGTTTATTAAACGGTAACTTATTATATTACAAACAATTTTTCATATAACACTTTTTTTTTATCATTCACACAATACTTACTTTAGACTTTGTCTAAAGAAATGCCTGAATTCTCCAGTGCGTATGAGTAATGAAACAGGAAACTTTTATTGAAAACGCCAGTATATGTAGTTGAATGATTCAAAGAGTATGAAAAGGGTTTTAATAGAAAAAAGAGGAATTAGACTGAATTTTTAATAATAATAACTTATTCAAATACCAAAATTTTCTATTTAAAAATTCAATATTTTAAAATTCAATATTAAATGAAATAAACGGGTTATTAAATTTATTTATTTTATATTTGGATTTTAATAATAGAATTATTTGTTTTTAATACTTTAGAATTTTATTTAATTTAATAGAATTTATTTTAACATAAATTAATTTAATTTTTTAATTTCATTAAATTTATTTTATTTTATTTACATTATATTACATCACATTAAGTAATTTGTTTTATTCTATTTTAATTTATCTTATTTTATTTTATTTAATTTATTTTATTTTATTTTATTTTATTTTATTTTATTTTATTTTATTTCATTTTAATTTATTTTATTTTATTTTATTTTATTTTATTTTATTTTATTTTATTTTATTTTATTTTATTTTATTTATTTAATTTTATTTAATTCTTTTTTATTTTATTTTATTTAACAGTTGTAATTTAATGTGACTTTAGTCTGGTTTTTTCATTCAATTGCATTTTCTTAATATCTAGTTAGCTTTCTCCTAATATTTTCAAGTTATTGTAATAAAAATATAATCTCTTATCGTCTGTGATTAGTTTAATTTTTATATCCTTTGAAAAGAAATGAGACATTAAGTGGAAACGTTAGAAAACATCACTGCTGAGTCAGTATCGCTTTTAAATGATTTTCGCTTAGTATTTTATGTTCATTTTTGAAACATAAAGTTCAAAATATTTGAAATAATTTACCTCAGAAGTGCGTAATCTTGAAATTTTGATATGTTTTAAAAATGTTCCATGCCCCTTATTTCAAGCGTTAACCCAAATCTGAGAACTTCAGAAGTAACACATCCTAACGAACATAATTTTTTGAAAAGTTCCGCTTACTCTACAGAAATGTGGAATTTTAATTTTAATGCTAATTAAGTTCTAAATGTCGATTCAGGTTTAATTTTTTGTTTTTGGCTTTCTGTTTTTATGAGCAAAGTTTTATTTTTAATGCGAAATGATTTTATGCCAACACTGGGAGTACAAAAAGCGTGCATTTTGATTGTGTGGCAGCACATGTGCAACATTTTGTGTGAAATGTGTAATAAACTTTTTTGTAAGTCAATTAAAATTTCAAAAATTTTTAAAAAAAATTTTAACTTCATTTGTGGTATGAAAATTTTGCTTTTCATAACGAAAAAAGGATTAATACGTATCTACAGTCAAATTAAGGATAATAGAAAATTTGAAATTTGAGTTTGTTATGTACCAGAACAATATGTTGTAGTTTTAGGAAAGTGTGCATAAGCAAAAGTTTCGAAATCTTGAAATTCTCAAGTTCATATTAACATTATTGAAATATATTTTTCGAAAATTAAATTTAAAATATTTATTGCTTATGCTTAAAATTCCAGAGAATACTGAAGAAAATGAGATCAAATAAAAAATGTAAAACAAAAAAATTAAATAAAAATAATAAAATATTACTACATGCACAATATAGTAAGGACTGCGAGGAAATTTGAATAATTAATATCGAAGAACAATATAAATGGATGGAAATTTCTGAGGAAAACCTTTATTTTACTACGTAGGTTAATACCGGTATCGCAAAATAACTTATAAAACAACTTTATTATTTTTTTGTTTTATTATTACTTTATATAACAAAAAAAATTTTTTGTGACAAAATTCTATTTTTAATCAAATTTAAACATGGAGAGCTTTCAGACATTTGTTTAGGAACAGAGTGCACGTAAGAGTTAGTTAAATTTATAGTACATCAAATCCTAGAGAAGAGCCAAGAAAAACATTTGTCGACTTTAAAACCGCTTTTCACTCAACTAGAAGCACTCTATATGCCGCTATTCCTGAATTTGGTATCCTATCAAAACTTTCACGGCTATATAAAATGACGGTAAGCAACACCACTAGTTTCGTTAGAATCGGAAGAACCTCATCAAGCCCTTTACTACCAAACGAGGTTTTAGACGGGGTGACGCCTTCGCATGTAACTACTTTAACTTAATGTGAAAAACGATAATTCGAACAGCAGATTTAAACAGCACTAGCACAATATTCTACAAAAAATTTTTTCCAAACTAGCAAACAAGCGAAGTAAATAGGTCTTAGGGTAAATGAGGATAAAATAAAGTACTTTCTGTTAACAAATATATCTCCCGAGCGTCTTGGAACCTACGTCACGGTTGCCAGTTATAAGTTCGAAGTTGTGAAAGACTTTGTTTATATAGAAGCCAGCGTTAATTTTTTTTCCATTTATTCTGAGGAAATTTGTCAAATATAATAAAAAAGTGAAAAATATTTTCAGAAGCAATTACAAAGATTGAAAGGCATTTAAACAAGTCCAGTCCTTACTAGAACATTATGAAATTCTGATATGCTTTTATTCATAAGACAGACGACTTAAAGTTATTGACCTTCATAAACCTTAGTTCCTGGATTATTTTTTTAATGTAATAACTATCCCTAATGAATGAACTATTACTTTTATTATTATTATTTTTTGCTTATAGTTAATTTAGACATTATTAATTATAACATATTAATAATTGTTTATATGAACTTAAACAATTTTTTATTGAAAACCCTTAATGGTCAGCAAGCAAATACCATATGCTTCGCTCTGATTACATTTATCTTCCAAACACTTGCACTTGCACATAGCCTTCATAGCAATTTTTCTTGTCAAACTGTTTTATTGATACCAATCGACCAACTTTTTCCTTAAGTGGCTATAAATAAAGGACTCCTTCTTATAAATTAGTACTTCTCTCTCTTTGCAATGAAATTGAAAAAGTGTGCAAAAGCTTCATACTTAAGTTTCTTTAGGAATATGTATACACAAATGTATGTACATGAGTTTATATATTTATATTTGTATATATATTCAACAAAATGAAGTGCTATAATATGGCTTAACATATGGGCTTGGAAAGCATTGGGTAATAAAAGAAATAACCTACGAGTACATAATTTAATGTAAGTAATAACTTAACAATATTATCCTGTGCGGAAAAAATAGGTCAGCAAGTTTTCTAAGAAATTTAAATAGAAACATTAAATGGGATATAAACGCATTTCTTAAAACCGATGAAGAATATGGCAGTGAATTTTAATTTTATATTTATTTTATGAAAATGGTTTCAGTAATTCAGAAAAAAAATGGTGATACATGATTTCATTTGATATATCGTAGTTACAGGAAAAATTAAAAAAAAAATCTAAAACACATATAGAATGTGCAAAAATATAACAGAATATATATTTTGATAAGTTCACATAAATAAATCAATATCACATTTCATATTATCATACTATTTATTCATATATCATATCACAATGACTCTGTATATATTCTGTACTTTTGATAAATTCACATAGATAATTCAGTATCACATTTCTTATTATCATACTACTTATTCATATATCATATCACAATGACTCACCTGAGTAATGAGTGACTTTCGTTTTATCAAGCATCACAAGATTAAAAACTAATTACAGTGTAGTTTGGATAGACTGGGAAACAGATTAATAGAGATTACCACCTCACGATACAAATCGATATGTTTTTATGCAGATTGATATAGTCGTTTGGACAAAGGATACATATATACCTATATTAAGAGCATCTCCTGATAACACACCCAAATTAATTGTTATTTGTTCTCATTCTGGAACTGCTTATCATAGTTTTATCAAATAATTAATTTGTACTGTAATTGTGATGAATCATGTTTTAACTTTTATTTTAATCACAAAAAAAAATAAGCTTGAACATCGGACCTTAACTGAAATCGACTGAAGAAGTCGATAGATTTCTTAGTAAAAAATTAATGCCATACTAAATGTGGTTTACTGGATTATCAAGAAGAAATGGCTTAAAAAATAATATTATAAAGTGTTGCAAAATGAGTTCCAGTTTACTTCGGTGTCGTAGAGAATGATTTAGCTGATGGCGTGGTGAACAAGTTTTTCTATTTTTTTCAAAAAGAAAGGTGATCCAAAATAGAAACTTTCAAAGAGAAGAGTTGAAGAGTTTGATAAAAACGTTTAACAATAAAATGACGAAATTATGCCTTCCTACTTTGTCTAGCAGTATAGATCTGAAATGGCAATTTTTTCTCGTAGATGTACACGACACGTTACTCCCAATATTAACAAGAAGTTGCTTTAGATTATTGGTATTTGATGTGTAGATTTTGAATAATATTCATACTCTCTTCATAATTTTGAGATTAATTAGAGATGCTTAGAAACTTGTGGTACATTAGCCTATTATTCGATCTGAATCATTTCTTATATCTTCTTTTTCTTCTTACTTATGTACGTGGGTTTTAGTATAACGTTAAATCGACTGGGCGTCTTGGATTTTATTTACTTCAAGGATAAAATCAAATCAAGTATAAACTAACACAGAAGGATATTCAAATATATATAAAAGTTTAAATAAATAATAATATAAAAATTTGTTTTATATATAAAATCGTTATAAACTTAGTAGCCAACTAATTTATTTTACTTTAAATATCTAAAATTGTTAAACTGAGAGAAGCATAAAGAGTAGAAAATATTTATTTTTTTAGGTTGATTATATTAAAAACTAGTTTTGTTTGTAAAATTATTCATTTAAAGTTCTTAATAAATATTTTATATTTTAGTTGTTATCTTAAAAATTTCATTAAATCGATTCTGAATATAAAATATGTCTGCAAATCAAAATAATGATATCGTGAATAATACTCAAGACCTCAAACACAACATTGGTGTTGAAAAATTGGATGAGATCAAAGATGATATTAGCAACCAAAACCTTTCTTTAAATGATTCCAGTAATCATTTAACTATTGATGAGGATTCTACACTACCAACATCTGAAAGAAATCGTAGAGCAATCGAAAAGCTAAATCACATTAGCCAAAATATCAACATCTTAAATCGTACTAATTACTTTCGGTGTATATTTTGTGAAGCAGTTCATATTTTTATTCTATTCTAGAGAGAGTTGTGTCCCCACCTCAGGTTATTCCGTTACAAATTGAGGAGTTTAATGAATGTACAGGTGACGAATTAGAAAAGTATATCAATAGTATTGATTGGAGTAAAAGGATTAGAAATGTACTTAAAAATTCAACTATTGATGTCGATAGAGTTCTAGCCAGATTCGAGAAAAGCGAAAGTAGGAAAGGTATGTATATTGTATGTAAAAGTGGTGACCAACAACCAATTTTTGATGAAATTTATAAAAATTTAAATAAATGCAGGAGATAAAAGTGTTCGTACAATTTAATTTTATATAATAGCTGCTGATAAACCTCTGGAGAATATTGTAGAATATGCTTCCACAAATAATAACACCCATACTATTGAAAATATTGCACAATATAAAAGCACTTGCAAGTGGATGGAATGGGTTAGGAGCCTTAAAGGTGGTGCCAGAACTACATATGCTGATTTACACAGTGAAGAATTGCTTCAAGAATTTACTCACAACATGGGCCAGAGCATGGAGGATCTCTTAAAAGAAGTTGATGTGGACGATGTTCTATCTGAAAACATTGACGATAACGTATTTGTAGAGAATACGACAATACAATTGGGTAGTGAAAAAAATGACAAAGTGGCAGTCTTCAATAGCGAAAATACAGAGAAGAACATTGTGCGAGGAGCTAAAGAGAGAGCTACAAATCCTTACTATGAAAAGGCTGAACACTGTCATGATCCAAAGAATATGGGGAATGCATAATTAGTGATATTGCTTCATCAATTAAAATTAAATTATGAGAAAAATGAGAACTGATTAATAAGACTTAAATGTTGTCAATGTCTGCGATTTAACATAATAATTTTTGAAGGAAAATTAGGATGTAGTCATGTTTATATATTTAAATAAAATGAATATTTCGTTTTCGCAGCTTAGTTTTCAGTTTTTAATTTTATGTCATTTCAAGCATTTAATGATTTTTTTGAACTAATAATTGTATAATGTCCACTTCACTTAGTCCTGGAAAGTATTAAATTATTTTTTCGTATTTCTGTCAATCTTTACTCAAGCAATTTATATTTATTTACTTTCAAACAAATTTTGTATCTGAGCTATAAACGTAATCTTATTAAATATTAATGAGATAATTTATAATAGAACAAATACTTTGATTTCGTTCTCAATGTTCGCGACTACAGTTTTATTATCTAAGTTAGTTGCGATAGTAAAATAGTTGATGTTCTACGTGCCATAGGTCAATGGTGTAGGTCAAAAGTTTTATTCTCTTCTGGTATTTTTATTTATTTATTATTTTGTTTTTTTTTTGGCAAATATAAACAAATAAAAATTACTTTCTGGTTACTTGTTTTGTTCTTGTATGAAGCTATAAATATGATTTACTATTATGACACGCATTTGAAACATAAAATATGTGTACTTATAATTTATCTTATAATTGACCAAGAAAAAGGGGAAGGAAATATTCACAAGAAATGAGTTTATTGTGCCGTAAAGATACAATCGCATTTTGCGCTCATAAATACTTAAAGTAGTCATTCTCTTGGCTTGACTGCAAATTTAAATAAAATCAATTTATATAGAAATCAGATTTTATGCTTAGCCTGCATAATCTTTGCATTAGCAAATTGCATAAACCACAGCATGTACTATATACTCTACTTTAAGCACAGTATTTTAAAAACCTCTTAACGCTATGTGAAGTGCAAAGAAAATGAACTGAAATACTTTCCTAGACTTCTGTTATATTTACCTTCTACACTCAACTGAACAGATCTGCTGTAAGACGGTGTGTAAATTATATTTCTTCACATTAACTTTTTTACACATTTTGCTTTACTTGGTGCAATAACGTCTCCATTTATGTGCACTTTTTACGGTCACAAATATGCAAATCGAAGAAATAGATGTAAGAATAAAAGTGAGTCAGGCATATTATTGAGTACCCTACAGTTTGTAGTGAGGAATATAAAGTTATTATATGGACATTATTGTAATTAATAGTGTTAATGGTAGTCTACAACTTGTCATATCTAAGATACTATTTTTATCGGCAGTCTTCGAGGTTTAATTAAGACAATGCAAGGCGAATGACTAATCTAACAGTGTATTCTAGTTTAAATCCTAGATTAATCCTCAATTAATCTATTGTTGAAAGGGATAGTATGAAAATCGAAAAAAAAATTAAACATATTAAAATAATAATGTTTTCAATTTTATGCCTTCCATCTTAGAAAATTGGTTCAATTATATATTAAATAATAATTTGTTTATTATATTATTCTATTGTTCTATATACACACACTCACACACACAATGAAATATATGGGTGAGGAACATATAAGGGTTAACTGCAGTTTTTAAGAACTTTCTGCAACATCCTCTTGACCAATATTATTTTTAGCTGTAAAATTATCTAACAAATAATATAGAAAAATATTTTATAGATAAGCTTAAATCGTATTTATTTTCTTTTTATTGTGAATTCTAAATTTTTTAGAAGAATAGAATACTTCAGAATAGAATAATTTAGAATACTTTTATAAAGTAAATTTGTAACGAAATCTCAGAATTTTTATATTAGTATAATAATTTATATAGAATTTAATACAATTTAATTTTATAGAATTATTATATTGTAATATATATTTAAAACCGATTTCATAGTTTTCACCTAAACTGGAAACATTTTTATGCATACTCAAAAAAACAATTTGAATAAGTAGGCGTTTATTCAAATGAAATATTTTTAGTTGAATATACATGAATATTTTTTTTTGTAACCGTAAAATAGAGTTTAAAATTCTATACAATTTTCTAGTTTTTAAAAAGTACTTGTAATTTTATTCTCTGCTTATATAATGAGTGCATCAGGTTCACTACCACGTTCGCATGCCAGCTCACATTCACAGGTTGCCGAGAGTTCAGAGCACCAATCGGATGCTAATGATAATAAAAGAGCAGAATTACATAATTGCGACGTAGACACAGAAAGTGTTCCTCAGAGTGCTGAAGATAATTCTTCTATTGTTCTTACTGGTAGTCAACAACGTTATTTGGAGTGTGAAGTGCGACGTCGGCTTGCTGTCATTTTGCAACAACCACTACGTGATAACGAAGGTGGTGAAAGGTCTGCACCCGAAGGCCAACAGAAAGGCCGGGAAATGGAGAATGTTCCAAATCGCTCAGATAATCAGGAACTTATTTTTCCACAAGATCAGCAAAACTATTATGAACAACAAGGCAGCCAGGATCCAACAAGTAATCAGGGTCAAAATAATTCTCAAAACCTTGAGTTTACTCAAGAACGGGAAAATGACAGAATTTGGTCAAATGATCAAAAAGAAAATAGTTTCCAGGTCTGTGCAATTTGTCAACTGCCGATGAATGCCCAAGGTGAAAGAGCACAAACTAGAAACCAACAAAATAATATGGAAGGTATCTCCGATCCATCATCTGACGAAGGCATATCGAGGCGTGAGCGTAGGTCTAGACACCTCCGTAGGGAAAGAATAGAAAACCATACTCCATATCATAGACTGAATATTGAACGTATCAGAAGCATGGCAACCAACATACGCCAAGGGCTGGCTGAAATAACTGGCGCAAATCGAATACTACGGAATGATTTGCTGGAATTTTATCGTATTTTAGAAAGTCGTAGAGATCAGGCTACTCGTAATGTCGAAGAACAAGTGGAGTTGAGTGAACCAAATTCTATTGCAATTAATAACAATTCAAATACTGACACCCAAGACTGAATGATGCAACAATTTTAACATTTGATTACTTATTACAATTACTTATTCCTTGAGTGATGACTTAAGTGATGACTTTGATGATGAATTTTTGAGAATAAATTTAATTTTATGTTGAGTGCTGTATTTAAAAATAGTATCCTTATATGTTCTGCTTACTGTTCTACTTACCTACTTCTCATATTAACTGTAACTCAATGATATCTGACTTTAATCTGGTATCTAGCATGCGAAATTGAAATGTAGCGAACTCATAAAAATGAAAAATAAAATCTCGAATAAATTTGAGAGCACAAAGTAAATCTAAGAAACACTAAAAAAACAGGTGAATGTGAATTGTTGATATACTCAAGAGTCTTCATTTTTCTTTTCAATTTACTTAAGCAGTTTACACGCCTGAATGCCATGTAACGTTGTTAAACGATAATACGTCGAAATTGTAAAAGCCACAAATCCTAACGACAAATTGCATATTTTGAAACGGATGCGGATACATTTTTAACAACAGCGTTTAGAGGATGTGTGGCAAGTAAGTTCGATGGGAAGTCAACTTGAGGCTTGAGTTTCCAGTAGGTGCTAAACTTCATCTACGCTGACTATGAAAAATAAAATTATCCTGCGCCTTTTTTTTAACTTTTAAGCTACTTTGTAAATGAAGAGAAATATACTATAAAGAAATTTAATGGCTTCACATTATGTTGTAATTTATTAATGTAATTTATTCAGTGTATTTGAACTGTTGTAAAAATGACAATATTCTAACACTACAAAATGACGAAATCTTCTTAAGCTGAATACATTTTTTAAATTTATATGTTTAGAAGTATATATGCA